AAGTATTGGCCTATATGAAGTTAGCCCCCCATTTTCGTATAACTTCGTATTTCACCAGAACCATAGGCACTTTACTCTTGAAGGTAGAGAATTATTTTGTCTTTTTCGACCGATAATGTTACACCAGCGACACTAAAACCTGGAACAATGAGAAATAGACACAGAACAATCCGGAACAACTCTCAGTTTTGTCAGAACAAACGTTTAAAGAGCACTTTACTCTTGAAGGTAGAGAATTATTTTGTCTTTTTCGACCGATAATGTTACATCAGCGACACTAAAACCTAGAACAATGAGAAATAGACACAGAACAATCCGGAACAACTCTCAGTTTTGTCAGAACAAACGTTTAAAGAGCACTTTACTCTTGAAGGTAGAGAATTATTTTGTCTTTTTTCGTATAACTTCGTATAATGTATGCTATACGAAGTTATTACGTTTTTTAAATTTTAAGAGTAAAGTGCTCTTTAAACGTTTGTTCTGACAAAACTGAGAGTTGTTCCGGATTGTTCTGTGTCTATTTCTCATTGTTCCAGGTTTTAGTGTCGCTGGTGTAACATTATCGGTCGAAAAAGACAAAATAATTCTCTACCTTCAAGAGTAAAGTGCTCTTTAAACGTTTGTTCTGACAAAACTGAGAGTTGTTCCGGATTGTTCTGTGTCTATTTCTCATTGTTCTAGGTTTTAGTGTCGCTGATGTAACATTATCGGTCGAAAAAGACAAAATGATTCTCTACCTTCAAGAGTAAAGTGCCTTTATATGTTTGTTCTGGTGAAACTGAGAGTTGTTCTGGGTTGTTCTATTCGTTTTTAGCTTAAATATGTAATTTGGTGTCAAAACATAATATAATAATAGCGATAAATGTAAAAATACTATTTGGACGCTTAATGCTATTTTTTGCTATATCTTTTTAAATTCTTTTTTAGGGGGATTAATATTTTAGAACAATGTTTAGAACAATTAGAACAATCCAGAACAGCAAAAAAATTTGAATTTAAATAAAATAGGGTGGCCACAAAAATAAACTGTTTTTTTGCTTTTCCCGTCATGTTTTTCGATTTTTTTGTTCATAACTTTGGAACAATATAGAACAAACGTAGAACAACCTGGAACAACTAAAAAAATATTCAAAATCGAAAAATGGGGGGCTAACTTCATATAGGCCAAGTATTGACGACATTTTAATTGGAATTGCATTTCGGCCATAAATTTAAAACTCGTGAAGCTTTTCGAAGTATCTTAGGAAATATCGTACAATATAGTATGCATGTTGAATATAAGATTCTCGTTAAAGTCGGTTGAAAATTGAGAAGTTGTGTTGTGAAATCTATTTATATCGCAAGGCGACTTAACGGCCTTTTTAGCGGGAATTTCTTCGAAATTTACTTTGTCGCGAAATCGTGACCGCGCAACTCACAGAGTCGCTTTTGTAAAGAAGTTGATTACA